GCAATAGTAATATTCAATTGTTTTTCGTAGAATTCGGGATCAACTAAACCGATAAAATAGGGGAATTGGACACGTGATACAAATTAGTCTTAAATAAGAGGAAGCAATCACTTCACCGACAATTATAATTCATGACGAATCTAGCATAACCACCACGATCATTTACGTTAAATACATATAATTTAATATAATAAAAATTTTCATGTAACAAAATCACTTGAAAATTTGGATAATGTAAATGATTTGGGTGGTTATGCTAGAGGAGTTATAATTCATTGATAACCAATTTATTAGTACTCAATTTATGCGATAGGAAAAAAGAAGGATTTGTAGAATGATTGTCTGTGAAGCGATATGAACCTAAATAATAAAAATAAATTCATACATGATTCTGGACAAGATACGTATTTTCTCCATTCTTTATCAATAAATTCAACAACAATGTCCAAACGGACGATATGAAGAATAATCAAGGATATCTCAAAAACCGCGAAACCAAATAACACGAAGGGGTAGACAACGATTAGATACAACCAATTCAAAGGATGAGTAAATGGCAAAGTCCAGTCAGTTAAGAGCGTAAGGAAGCCATCAATAGCAGCTCGGAATAAGGTGACCAAATTATGAAATTGCAAATGGCATGGAACAATCCTATAAGTGTGTTTTTCGGTTTTAATTTGCTGAATATTTGCATCTGCTTTGTACAAATCCTCTAGATGAATCGAGTCTTCTTCATATTGGCTTGCAGCCTCCAAAAATTCTTGACATTTCTCGTCTTCGGTAAGCATATTCTTAAAAATTCTCGTTAAGTTTATCGGTTAATAAAAAGAAATCTTTCCAAGCCTTTTTTTTTTCAAGCCGATGCAGGAGAAAAAAAACCTGTGAATAATGGATATATATATATATATATACAAAGCATATATAAATGTATAAAGATAAGATTACGATATTAAGATTAATCGTAATTACTGATTAATCGTAATTACTAAACACGCGCTTACAAATATGGAATAATTTGTTATGGTACAACCAAAAAAAAATTAGTTGTTTTAAAATCTTATTCATGCAACGGGTTTTTTTTCTTGAAT